GTGAGAACAATTACGAACATATAAATACGTTAGCCGTCTGGAGGATATACAATGGACGACAAAAAGAAGTTGAACCGATCAGTCGGTCCGCGGTTCAAAAATAACCTCGCAACGACACGCCACCAGTAAAACTTAGACGCTTACTCACTTTCTTTGCATGCTACTTTCAGACGCTCGCGCTCCGTGAATATTGAGTGCAACTATACTGATTGCATATCAAAGGTGTAGAAAAAATTCTCAACTTTTTGATGCTAAACATGTGGCTGTTTATGGCGAACAGCACAAATTCTAGCCATTTTGCTTTCTCGTAGGCACAGCATAGGATCTGTGCGCAAAACCGTTTGGCATGCAATCTATGCTTACGTCTATGAGAAAGCAAAATGGCTAGAATTTGTGTTATTTGCGATAAAAAGCCACATGTTCAGTATCAAAAAGTTCAGAATTTTTTTCTACACCTTTTGATACGCAGTTTGTACAGTGGACTGCGAAAACCTGTTACTTTCGGTCCGCGACCGAATGACCAATCCAAATAAATGGCCAAGACCAAATGACCAACAAACAGGAAACGTGCAAGAATTCGAACACTTGCACCTTACGCATTTCCCAACGAAAACCATCAACCGATATCTCAAACGAAAGAGAAAACAATTTCAAAAATTTCGATACCAAATACGTCACCCTTCAGGAGATTTACCAGAAAATTCGAGCCATTTTAGTTTGCCGTAGACAAAGCATACGATTTCCGTGTGAAAACTGAATCCAAACCGTGGATTCAATCCTATGCTATGTCTACGAGAAACTTTACATAAATGCGTCGATTTTCTCTTAGATCTCATAAAAAATCACTTGTTTGGTATAAAATTCTTGAAATTTTCTACAGGCCGACGGCCAATCACGAATTTGCCTGTCTGAGTACAGAAAAATGCTTGGTTACGCGCGTTGTAACACCTTTTCGCAGTCCACTGTATAGTTGCACTCCGAAATTTACGGAGCGCGTGCGTTTGAGTGGCGCCACTGGCGTGCAAACAGAGGTTATTTTTGAACCGGACCGACTGATCGGTTCAACTTCTTTTTGTCGTCCATTGTACCGTTACACGAGCACCATAACAATAATAAAATATATTTGTTAATGAACAGCGTTCGAGTAACTACAGTTAGACGCTTTACATGTACAATACTCGTACAATCATAATATAGTTTGACAAGAAACGGCTTCGGCTTTGCCTCCGCGTTTCTTGTGGTCTGCGGTCGGTTTCTCGAATGATTTTGATTAATTCACTATTACTGCGTGCACTATTTGCGATTACTATAATTATGCACTAAACAGTGGTGTTACTTCAGTTCTTCACCAAGCTATCACGATTTGCGCTCAAGAAAATAACGGTAATTTGGTAATTACACAAACTCTCAGTCGGCTGTGCGCATTTTACAGTAATAGAAATTGGTCATTCACTGTGTGCAGTGAACAGTATTGATACTTCAGTTACTCACGACCACTCGTTTCGTTACGTACACACCCAGCAGGCGGTGCGCAATGGTTAATTTTAGTAGGTCGGTCACCCACTCGCCTACCGGCACACGAGAATAGTGGTACTTCGGTCACTCACATGCAATGTGCAGTTCCAGTAGTGGTAGCTCAGTTACTCGTTCGTTACCACTCGTTTGGCTCCGATCGATAATATAATTTTCCGATCTGAGCAGTTCAGTCGGTTTGGCATTTTCTGATCTGACGAATCAAATTTATTCCGTATTATGCGGAAATATTAATTTTACGGACCGTACAGATATGGATGTACTGTTACTACTGTATTTGCTGCTTAATCACTGTCCTTAGTTTTGCTCGGACTGCAATCATTGTAATGAAAGGTCAGCCCGTTTAACGGTTACTATGGTCAGTTTCTTTAACGCCTGCTTTTAAATGGCTTTTAACGAGCGTTCTTATTCCTAACTCATGTTTTTGAGCGCTTTTAATTGTTACCGATTTACTGAAATGAAGCCATCCACTAGCAGCATCGATTGCGTTACTTCTAACTGGCTAGTGAGTGGCTGTTTTAGTTTTGTAGGAGTAAAGTTAAAACCTTTTTAATTTGCTGATCTAAAAAGGTGCCATTTTAAATTTACTGATTTTGTGCTCCATGCAACCGGACTCTGAAATTATTTTCAAGGTCACCCTGTGCTTTCAGCTCTACAGGCACCGGCGTCTGTGAACGGGAGTCGGAGCGGATAGTTATTAAAACAAAATGCATGTGACACGGTTTCCAGACATTCTGAATCGAATGGCGTTAACAGTTTTTCGATTAAGTTTTTGGTTTGTTCTGACCAGATCGTACGGGGTTTTCCGTTGTAATATAGATCTTTTCCTTGATAGGTTTACCACGTGAATACCAAAACAGTATTATAAAATCTGCCTACGACACTTTACGTTACTTCAGAGTTCAGATCATGTCCTTGCTTTTCGTTACTGTAGTCACAGCGTCAACAGTGGGAATCATGTAGTTCCACTTGTTGTAAACACGGTATCTTAAGTTGTTTCTATTTAGGCTTACACTTAGTACTTATTCATAGGTTTTCTAGGTTGTACTCAACGCTGAACCTCAGTAATTAGATGATTTGAACACCGTATTCCGTCGTAAAGCATCTTCCAGAGGTGAGCCTTCAGCAAGTGTGGCGATCGCAATTTTAACATTGCTTGTCATCCTTTTTTATTTGACACTTTGCGCAGACGACAAAATGCGATGTGGCCTTTTGCAAATTTTGAGTTAGTTCTTACTCATTTACTCCCGCACTTGGCCGGTGCTGTTAACGCTGTACATGATAGACTGACTGTATGCTGGCAACATTTTCAAAAATTATAGGGTTGACCAACCATTCCGAAGGTGCTTCCTACGTGCGGTGCCACATTTTATGGGATATCTGCCAAGGTTTCATCGCTTGCCAGTTGCCAGAGACTCCAGCTTTTATCGCATGCCATGCCAGTGGCAGTGCCACTGGCAGGTGCCACTGCCACGTTTTACCCCCTGCCCAACGAATCATAGAATTTTCGCTGGAATTCTCTAATTAGGTTCAGGCAGAACCCTAATGAGGTGTTATATGGTCTGCCTCTTTCGAGCGATTTCAGAGGGTTGCAGCAGTTTCTATAACATGGACGTCTACGGGAAATGTGCGATGTCCAAGCAAATTTTGGCCTGTGTACGCTCTGTATTGCGTTGTAAAGCAAAAATACAGAGAAAAAGGTTGTGCAGCTTTAAATTCTCTATCCAAATAATACCACAAAAAAATTTCAGGTATGACAGATGCACAGAAAAATGGCCAGGTCAGTGACTCACACATGTCCAATCTGCATACTGTTTTCGACTCTGAAAAGCACAACGTGGCTGTTGTGGCCCACGATCTGTAGTTAAACGCTTATATATGCACCACCATACAGCAGCACTCATTTCCGGGCGGATATTTTCAGACACACAGGCACTGCAATGATGAAGCACGTATTGTGCTTGTAAACTGTTTGCTAAGTTCTGAATACGGTGCCCTTTTGTCTTTGTGGCACGGCACACAACAGAATTTTTGTTGATGCTTTGTCGCAAATTAAATAAACAACAATAACATCATGAAAATTACTAACTGCAAACTGTTCATAAGTGTGTTTTGGCATATAACATGTACAGTAGATAATTAATGCATATATAACCATTATAGTTCTTTATAGCGCATGGCATACATTCAGGATATTAAAATTTAATATGGTTCGAGGTAATGTTGTATACAGTGTACTCTAAAGTATATTTTAACTAACATCACTACCCTAGTATTTTCACTGGTAGATACAAAAGTAAAATCCGCAGTTTTTAATGCATACAGCGTCAAAGATGAATCCGAAGATTGCGCATGTTTGGACAAATAATTTTTAACCGTACAAGCGATTTGACGCCTAGAAAATGTACTCTCCAAAAAACGCGAAATAATTTCAATATTTGATAACACGAGAACTTCGGTGCAGCGTTAACACTCGAATTTAAACTTGCGGTAATTTATTTGATAACTTACTTGTTTCCGCATAAATCACAGTCTAGCATAAATCACATTATTGACAATAAAATTATGCACAAAACAGGTAAATTAGGATCAAGCAAAACTTATTACCTGTTCAAATTTGACCCTGTAAAGAACGATAAGAATTCAGATTTCTGTTGTTCTTTTTGTAGTATGCTATCACAGTTTAGATACACGATGCAAATCAAAACGATAATAACATGAAGTTCCGAAAATTTAAGTTTTTTTATGGGCAACACTACATATCAAACTGCAAGCCATGGTTTTAGCTAGCCTGTGGCTACTGCACATGAATTTGCGGCTACCCTCTGAAACGCCGCGGCGCTGTTGTCGCTTTTCACGTGACCACACTAGCCACGCCTTTCGCCTGGACTTAATTTGCAACTGCTTGCGGAAAATTTTATGCCGACAGTGCCGGCGTATACAGGAGTGAAAGGCCTTCTTCCGTATGGTGCCATGCACATAAATACGAGGAAGTGGAAGTGTTTCTTTTGTAAATGCCGTTTTGTTCTGGTGCATAGTTTGCACTCGTACCGTGATACTTATTAAAGGTTACCCAGTTTGATAAATACGAACGTTCGTCGTCATTCAACAGGAACCCCACATTTTATTGTATCTATTCGAGGTTATGGAGCCAGCTGCGAAGAATTATTCTTTAAACTTATCCGGAGAATGTCTATTTGTACACTCGAGACGCCTTTTAGTGATATCGTTGTATTAAACTTCCATACACAGTACGCACACCTACTATTACACAATCCGATACCCGTATGTGCGTACATACTTGGTTATTACATAGTTGTTGTTACAACACAATCGTACGAGTACTGTATGTACAATCTCACATGCACGCCGAAATTAAAAACCGGTTTTGCTGTCTACGAGGCACACACAAGTACAGTAAGTAGTAGTACATACATATTATTTTTATCCATGCCATCAGCAAGCTTCTACCGCAGTTATTGAACTACACGCGTAGACAATTAAGTTTTTCCGTGCTTGTAGATACTCAACGAAAGCTTTAAGGAGAAGTTGTTATAAAATTAATACCATCATAATCTGGTTTGCTGTGTTCCTGTAATATTATAATTATGTCTTACTCGTATATCAGAACGAAATACTAAATTCACATTTACGAGAAACACAAAGCTGACGTGGTTGGATTTTGCTAGGAACTGAGTTTCGTCTGGGAAGCGCCCGGAAACCTGCTAATGAAGCATCTCTGAAAGACGATCTAGACCATCAAAAACAACGGCAAATGCGCTGTAATGTCCGGGACGGTATCTGTTTTGGGACAGCGTCGCACAAGGTCACTGCAATGTCCTGTCAAGGATGAAGATCCGGAAACATGTGGTTATGATTAGCCAAGCGAACTGGCAGCACGCAAAACGGAGAAAGGGAAACAACGCTGATGTAATGCGCCCTAGAGGGATCAAGGTACTTACTTTTCCAGTTTGCTTTCTTTAAAGAATTCGGCGGACGGACGTCGAGTTTAGAAAACGGACGTCAAGTGACGTACATGCAACCTAATTTACTTATCAATTTGCTTTTCAAATATGCGGGAGAACTTGTTCCAATTCGTGTTTTAACCATGCTTTCTATCGTTGATGGATTAATTTACTTATTTCCACTTGGAATAAAGGGCTGCACGGTCAATGTATTTTCAGAAGTCTTAACATTTGAAAAGAATGCATTTTTTTAGATATCGCAGAGCTAGAAAGGAGTTGTAACTGAAACTGAGCGGCCGAGACAAATGTCCATCAAGAAAATTGTGACTACAAGCTTGATCATGATTTCTGGTTGCTCCACGAGCAGTTTTCTTACGCAGTAATCTGCTTTGTTTGGTTCCAGCTTGCCTTGGGGACTTAAAGAACGAAGTGGTGCCCAATGATGGCGCCACAGAGCTGCGAGGTTCAAAAATTTTAGAGGAAGGTACGGCTTTACCAGGCTTTGCGTTATGGAAGTGCTGCGCTGCTGAGTTACTTGGGAACTTTAACCGTGGCGCATCTGGTGTTGACAGCAATGAATACTATAAAGGCTCTGGAGGAAGTCACCCAAAAGCAGAAGGGAGAACTGCACAGACTGAGACAAAACCTGGCTGAAATGGAGATTAAAGCGTAAGAGAAGAAAACCTGTCCCTTTTATCCAGTCGGAGCACGCATGTGACAAAAGAGAAACGCTCTTGTCCACAAGCTTGTTCGGGTTAAGCGCTGGGTTATGACTGGAAAATCTCGTTATACTCGGTTTTTCCGGCTTGTGGTTTCAGAAGTCAAGACGCAGCTGCAGAAATGCTGGACATTCTTCCTAGCACAAGTGCTCAGCCAAATTCGGATGACGCCAAATTTCATGTGGTCGGTAAAAACTTGATGGTACATCTGCCCCGATTAAGTTTTGAGTATATTTTGCAGTTTCAGCGACTGATGGATCACCTTTTCCAAACATACGACCACTACGTGGATGCATCCAGTTTCCAGACGCTGTCCGATACAACCTACATGTGGCTCGAAGAACACTGCAGTCCCTCCAGCCTCATGGCCTTGACAGCTGGAGTGCTGCGTGATCGTCAGTGATTACATAGCACTTTAATTCATTGTTAACAAAATCACAGCAAAGCTGCCAAGAAAAACAACATCGGTCTAATTATTCCCGACCAGCGAATCTAAATGCTAAAAAAGCATCCTCGTTGTCTCTCTGTGCCTTGTGTATGCATCAGTTTTGGTTGCCGAGCCAAACAAAAAATTGCGGGTTTAACCGTAAAATATAAGCGTAAGAAGAGTATAACCGTAATACAAATCACTACGAGGAAGTGCAGTGTCTGTCCTCGGAACCTTTAACGACATGAGAGACAACGAGGACGTTTTTTTAGCTTTTAGATTGGCGGGTCATTATTGACCATGCCCCATGTTGTTTTTGTTGGCAGCGCTGCTGTGATTTTGTTAACAATGAAATAAACTACAGAAATGTTTAAAAAATGGCACAGATGTGCATCAATATCTTCCACACAAAATTGATGCGAATTTGTCATTTTTATTACACCTTAAGTTTCGTGTAAATTGACCTTTGACATCCTTTTGTGGACTAATACTTTAGCGAGTACATGGCGCTGAAAAGCAGAATGTCAATCGCATCGTTGCTGCCAAATCTCCTAAGGACAGCGCCGTTCAACTGCTTGACAGCGATTCCAATTTTCTGCGCCGATCTAACACCGCTCGATACTGTTGGTAACATGTGTGAACTGTAGTATCGCATATTTGTGCCTAAACCAACTAAAATGTTAATCAACCAAGCACGACGAAATTTTAACGGAAGATCACTTTAAACCGGCTTTGAATTTACTGTCTAGAGTATTCTCCTAAATCACAAGAAAAATAGTCAATTGTTAAGCGCATACACATTACACAGAGCAAACAAATAGCCTTCGGAGTTACGGCCGAATTAATGTCAGATGCGAGCGAGAAACTGACATTTTGCAGAAAGTAAGGGGAAAAAAAGGATAGTGAGCGAAGG